ATATTTCCCAAATTCCAGTTACCCCCTATATTTTGGGGGTCTAAAATCCAAATCAGTTGAAAAAAAGTTATGTTAATTCAGAGAAAGTACATTTTAGTGTATGATTTCGTAATTTAAAATACTGTCTGCACTAATTAACTAACATATATGAGGTCACCCCTTCAAACCATTAAAATTGAGTCCTAGAACGTGAAGAGATCGTTAGATCAAAAGTTATTCAAGGTGGTCCGCTTTTTATTTTCCGCCTTGCACTTTAAATTTTAAATTACTTTTGCAGATGAATGAGAGTTTACGATAAAAAATTTCTCTCGCGATATAGCGTGCTCTTAAATCACTAGTTAAAGTGACTCCTGTAGACCCACCTGAGCATCCTCGTCACAGATTGTCGTCGATTCGATAGAGGTCAAAAACACACCTGCCTTATTCGAGCGCACCTGGTTATCGTTTTTACGATGTTGTGACATCTGCAATGACGTCAGTTGAGTCTTGTAATATTTAATTAAACAAACGTTTTTGTTATTTCTAAGTTTTTAGTATCTTCCGTAGTTTTTTTTTTTTTTTCCAGTGTGACAAGGAAACCAACAAAAGTTTTTAGCGGTTTTCCCCATCGAAACGTGATTTGTTACCCCATTTTCTAAGATGAGTTTTCCCCCTCTTAATACCTTTTATCACTCCTCTCTGAATTTAGAAATCGAATTCAGGTATGCCCTGAATTTTAAAAAAAAAACGCATTATTCTTAATCTTGATCGAGAACCTTTCTCTCCTAAAAATATCCCATCCTCCTGATATTAAATATGGACAGAAAATACGATTTAATATGAGACTTAAAAGAAAGTAAGCTCATAATTCAACTAATTTTCTTTTTATTACTTTTAATTACCTCTCAATATATTAAAACTCGTAAGAGCCTCTGACGACGCTGTTTCGGCTGTTTAACTTAGCGTTACATTTCGTTTTACCCTACATTTTCTATGATAATCCATAAAACTTAGAAACTTGATACGATGGTGGGTGGAAAAATACACAGGGAATATGATGGAATGAAAAAAATTAACATTCGATATCTATTTTGAGAATTATTAACTAAGTAGAATAAAAACCCAAGGGGGTCACTCTGCAGACAGCAGAAATACACTGAAGAGCCAAAAAAACTGGTATACCTGCCTAATGTCGTGTAGGGCCTCCGCGAGCACGCAGAAGTGGCGCAACACGACGTGGCATGGATTCGATCAATGTGTGAAGTAGTGCTGGAGATAATTGACACCATGAATCCTGCAGGGCTGTCCATAAACCAGTGGGAGTAAGAGGGGGTGGGGTTAGTTTCTGAACATCACGTTTCAAGGCATCCCAAATATGTTCAATAATGTTCATGTCTGGGGATTTTGGTGGATTTCCGATACTCACGGTATACTCGTGAAATGGTCGTACGTGAAAATCCAAATTTCATTGCTATCTCGGAGATGCCATGTCCCATCTCCCGTGCTCCGACTATAGCACCACGTTCAAGCTCACTTAAATGTGTATAACCTGGCATTGTAGCAGCAGTAACCGATCTTAGAACTGTGCTAGACACTCGTTGTCTTATATACGCGTTGCCGATCGCAGCGCTGTACTTTGATTGGCTCCATACCCCTCTATTTGCATACTCATGCCTGTACCAGTTTTTTTGGCTCTTCAGTATAACTACAGAGTTGGAATTTAATACTAAAAGGAAAATTTTCGTTTATAAATTTAACATTTCCTGTTAACATGCGAAAATTAATAAGCCTAATTAAAATTACGGAGAAATATACTAACAGTCTTTGCTCTAATGATAGAGCACGAGCACATATTTTTAAGCCATTGCTTGAACAACATTTGTCAATAGTTATTTGAGCAACACTTATCAGTAATTACTTGAAAAACATATGTTAATAATGTATTTTCAACAATTACATTTCCAACAGTTAAATCTAAAAACAATAAGTTAAAAAATTTTAGAAACCTCACCACAGGAATTTTGGAACAACCAATCAACCTATATTTGCAGTTACAAGAGCGATTTGGAGAATTGTATAAATACATGATCACCAAACAAGCTCTCAGTTGTAGCACTCATTAATTGTACTAAAAGTACTTCTATTAAACTACAGAAAGAATTTAATGCCGACGAGCGTTTTGGGCATTTTTCTTTTTCATTCATCTACAACCGTTTCTGCCAGGGTCCTAAGCCTTTTTATGCAAGGCAAAACCTAGGCCCAGATTTTGGAAATCATTAGAAAAATTTCAATGAGTCTGTTCAAGAGAGCTGTTTGAGAAATTATTTTTTCTCAAAGATTTTCTAGCACTGAGCATTGCTATAAATACACAGCAAGTTTCCACTCTAATGTTACAGCACATGAAAAAACGAAATACAGTGAAACTTCTCCTAAAGGCCACCTCTACTTAAGGGCCACCTCTATTAAGGGCCAATATTTTGAGGAACGAAAATTTTCCCCATAGACATAATGTTAATTTTCCTCCCATTAGAGGGCCACATTTTCCTGACTACCTCCAATAAAGGCCATTTTTTTTAAAAAAAATTTCTCAAAAAAGCCATTTTTTTACATTTTTCTTCTCGCAAAGGCCATAAATCTAAACAGGTGTGTCCAATTCTTTAGCTAAAAGTTTTGTAATAGAAACAATATTGTTTTTAAAACTTTATGTGGTGAATCAGCTAATGTTGATAAAGATTTGTGTCAAGACTGGAAATCAAGGCTTCCAATCATTCTGGCCGGCTATGAAGATCGTGATGTTTATAACTTAGATGAGACAGGACTTTTTTTCCGTGCCTTACCTACCAAAAGTTTAGTTGAGAAAGCAGAAGAGGCCAAAGGAGGAAAACAAGCTAAATAGAGGCTCACTGTGTGTTTTTGTGCTAATGCTGCTGGTGAAAAGGAAAGCCCATCGTCATTTGGCACTCCAAGAAACCTCGTTGTTTTAAAGGTAAAGATTTATTACAAATGGGAGTAAAATATCATTATAATAAGAAGGCATAGATGACCATGGAAATATTTAAAGATTGGTTGTTTAGTTTTGACAATAAAATTACAAATCAAGGCAGAAAAGTGGTTCTTTTTTTGGATAATGCACCATGTCACTCATTTTACGAAAACTTGAAAAGTGTAAAGCTTCAATTCTTGCCTCCAAATACTACGTCTGAAATTCAACCTCTAGACCAAGGAGTTATACGCTGCTTTAAATTAGAATACCGATGTTTTGTTTTGCGAAGACTCCTTTCTATTATAGATTGTGATAAAAATTCATCACAAATCATTCAATCTATAACAGTATTAGATGCCATTCGGTGGATTAGACACGCCTGGGAAAATGTAAAAGGACAGACAATTGTAAATTGCTTTAAAAAATGCGAGCTAAGCAATACAGCTTTAGAGGCCACTATCGATGCAGCTGATTTAGAAAATGAAGTGGTTGAACTTTCAAAAGCTGCTGCAATTCAATATGACCCAAATTCAGATAAATATGAAAATGGGCTAGAATGTTACGATGATTTATTGGAAGATTGGGAGAAAAGATTTATAGATGATTTAGATACAGGTAAAACATTTATATTCATTGTTTTAAGTTTTAAAAAAATACAATACATATTTTTTTAAACTTATTTGTTAAATTTTTTCAGGAGTTCAGTCTGATTCAGATAATGAGAATGAGTCCCCTGTGCCATATTTATCAAACCAAGAAACGCCAATAGAAGTAAATAAACTGATATCCCAATCCAAGGCATTAATAAATGATGCGAATTTAACTAATTTGTTTTATAGAGTTAAGGAATCATTAGAAACTAAAATTGTTTGCGAAAAAATTGTAAAAAGTAAACAAACTTCAATTGAAAATTTTTTTAAACATGTATAAAAACTTAAAATGTTAATAAACAGTTTTTTTCTACATAAATTTTGATTTCCTCATCTTATTTTTTGGTCACCCTCATTTAAGGGCCACCCCCCATAAGGGCCAATTTTCAATGGAACGACAGGTGGCCCTTACCGAGAGGTTTCACTGTACTTCTTTTTTTCAAAAACGGTCAAAGATTTTTTTTCAAACATATTCTCGCTACGATAAAAAGCATAAATTCGAGTTAGATTAATGCGTTTATCGTTTTCTTTTTTTGTTTTTAGTTGAAATTTTAATTTATAAAAATTCTTTGCATTCGTTTGGTTATTTGATTTATTTCAGTTCTATTAAATGCTTAGATTTTAACTCTGTGGCGTGCGCTAATGAAAACTAAATTATATAGTTCTGAGTTTTGAAACGTACTAAAAACTCAAATGGGTGAAAAGGAACTTTTAAAAAAAAAGTTCAAATACTTAAATTCGTAAAAATAATTTTTGAATATTTATGTAAATTTAAATTCGATAAAATCTTTTGCAGTTTTTAGTGGTATTTCAAAAAATATTTCTAAGGGATAAAAAAAAATCCAAGGATTATCTGAATAGATAGAAAAAACTAAAATATTAAGACGTGTTACCACAAAAATTTCTGGAGCTAACATATGCCAATTAGTTAAACCAAGCTTGATTTTCCTTTTATTTTCAGTAGCGCACATTCTTCATAACATAAACTTAACGGATTTTCAAATTTCTGATTATTTTTTATAATTTATACCATTCCTGTCAATAAAACCATTATTTCTTTATTTGATCTTTTTTTAACTGGATTATTCAAGTTTATCAATTATTCAAAGATTGTTCGAAAATATACTTTCTCATTTAAGGATTTTTTTTTTCGATATTGCGTACCTAACTAAAAGAGGTATCCTTCAATATAAATAACGTAACAACTACTCGATTACGAATTGCTCAAAGATTAGGCCTATTCTTTTTAGTTATTTTTAGTAAACTACGTATATCGTCGCATTAGATTAATAAAATTATACATGATTTTTAATAGTCTTAAAATTGAGTACAGTTTTGTTTGAATTTCCTATGTATTAAAACAATTTATGATCTATTCAGTTGGTTGAAAAAGTTGAAGAGAACTTATTTATGGTTAATAATAACATTTCCCCATCTGGAACTATATTTTAGCATAATATGAAATTTTGCCATAAAATAGTACTTAAAATTGCTTGAATACATCATTATTACCAATAAATAGAGCTGACTAGATTATTTCAGCTCTATTTATGAAAATAACTTAAAACGCACAAAAATGAATTATTTATTCTTGCTGTTCATCGTTGTTGCTGTATTAGTAGCAATAGTCTGTGAGTATAAGCTGTAATGATTCTTCTGTTGGTTTTTCTAATCAAAAATCGATATTTTTCATTAATTTAACAGATTAAAAAACAACAAATTAATAGTTTCTTTTCATTCGGTATTTTATTGTTCTTAAAAAGCAAAATATAATTTTCAAATTGTTTATTTACGCAATCTCATAAAATATTTCATGTATCCTAATTCCAATCACTATGAGTGTTATTTTTTTCTCTTGCACGCTTTTGAAAAAATATCACTATGAGTGTTATTTTTTTTCTCTTGCACGCTCTTGAAAAAATATCACTATGAGTGTTATTTTTTCTCTTGCACGCTCTTTAAAAAATATCACTATGAGTGTTATTTTTTCTCTCGCACGCTCTCTAAAAAAATAACAGTGTGAGTTACAACAGAAATATTTTATTAAATTATAACATATTTTTTCAATTGAATTTATAAATATAATAACTCTTGATTAAACCTCAAATATAATTATTGTAAGATAGTGTGTTATTTTCATGTATTATTTAGATAACTTTCATTTTAAAGTGGTAAGTGCTATACACGCTCTGAAAAAATTAACACTAAGTAGGGGAGAGTGGGGTCAATCGTAACATTTTTTACTTAACTATTTTTAACTATCAAGAAATCCAATATATTATTAGTATTAATTGACAGACGAGTAAAGTACACTATCCTCTACTAGAAAAAAAATAAATACCTTATTTTAAATGTTATTATATTAGTTATTAACAATTTTTGACAGTCGTGCACTTGTTACAATTGTCCCCACTTACGGGGTGGGGTCAATTGTAACAGTTCATAAATTAAACTAAAACATAGTTAATTATACATATTATTATAGTTGTGATAGATTTTTTTATTGATCAAAACAGTAGTGATATTTTAGGAGTAAAAATAATAATGAGCAGAGACCTAAAGGGTTAAACTTTTAACTTTAAAAGGTTAAAAAATTTAATTTGTGCTGTGAAAGGTGACAAATAAAATAATGCACATGCAACATAATATAAATGATGCAGGAAACTTTCGGTGGTTCTTAAAGAGTTAAGTAATGGTTTGTAAACATAAGATTATTTATTTTCAGCTGTTGCAATCGTCCCCAAGACGCCATTTCAGCTTCATTTGTTAAAAACAATGCCAGTTAATTAACAAAACTAATCTTTTTTTGAAATGTTAATTAAGGTGTCCACTTACATATTCGGTTAATAATTTTTATTTAAACAAAATTACTTTGTTACAATATAATATTCTAATACCAAAAAAAAGTACTTACGTAGCGTGAAAATATCTTTTGTGATGTAACTCTTTCAAAAGTTCATAAAAATGGCTGCCCGCAGGGGTGTACATGTAGATTTATTAAATACACCTTGTGCGCCACCTAGGAACCAAATCTAGAACCCGATACTCGACATTTTTGCTTTGTTACAATCGTACCCTGTTACAATTGACCCCACTCTCCCCTACCTTTCCCAATTTTCGCTTTTTCATCGTAATTAAGATTTTATCTCAAGTTGAAATGAAATAAATTATTATATAGTCGAATTTCTCTTCATATCTCTTCGTGTTGTAGTTTTATAGTTATAAATTTTTTTGTGCCAAGTCTACGATTGGACAAACCTATGAATCTTGCAGGAAGCCCACTGTAGTCTATGTACGACTCTGTTCATTTTGCTTAACAATAGATAATCACATAAAAACAGAATAGTAAACCGGTGATAAAAAGTTATTGAGCCAGAGTTTTAATCTTTATTTGATTTACAAAAAAATTCATCTTAACTTAAACAGAACTTAAAACTTAAAATGCAAGGCTGTGGATTCGGAAAAATTTTTGCAAGATGCTCGTAGTTCATTTTTGCAAGATGTTCGTAGTTCACTTTTGCAAGATGTTCGATGTTCGTTTTGTAGATGTTCGCAGACTTTATATGATAAAAATCCTCCTGAGAGTGCTTGCGCAGAACAATTATCTGAAATATTGACGTTAGCGCTTATTGTGAACCCACCCTAAGTAATTTAGAAAGTTTCCTTATTTTAACACTATGTTTACGGACGTTTCTTATATACCTATCTCTACGAACACGAATCAATTTGACGCATGAACGAATACATATAACAGCACTTAGAAAGCAATGTAATTATTTACAATAAGAAAAAAATAGAATATGAGATATATATTTATGGAAAGTTTTTATTATTCAATAATTTTATTATACACATCTCTCTGATCAATTGACATCACTCTGACATCATTGACATTCTGCACTTGTTCTTTTTGTTATTGCTTATCGGCAACAGTTTTTTTATCGCTTGTTTCGGATAACGGATAACAGATCGATGTATTATCGGTACATTCCTATTTATTATTGACGTGATGTTTGTATGTTTACTCAAAATTTTGTCTAAATTACGATCGCGTCAAATTGAGATAGGTATACCACAAAGAGAATTTCTTTCAATATTTCAACGCTTTTGAAGAAAATAGACTTCAATTTATATTTACCTCTATCAATGGATAAAAGTCATTACAAGAGATAAAATAAAAATGCAAATGGGTTTTGTAATTTTCCTTATAAAATTCGAAATGCGTCAAAATGACGCGTCCCGTAAACCTAGTGCTAAATGTCAGTGTGTACATTTTTAAATCATTTGCCATGTGCACTTTTGTTATTAATTAAATTCCAGGTGGCCAGCTCAGTTCAGACTGTGGATTTAAAGGGAAATGTGAACCACCACATTGTCAAATGACACTCTTTTTGGGATGTCCAGCCTGTACTTGCATAGGCGGGATGCCGTAGAACATCATATGCAACTTGTATGCCGAATCCCATCCTGCATTCAAGCTAGAGGTGGCCCAAGAGAGTATTGAAACCTGAGTTCATTTGTATTTTTTTCTGCAATAAAATTGATTTATCAATCATTTATTTATTACACTTGCGTAATATAATTTAATTTCATTCTGACCACTCTTTCTAGGTTTTATGGCAATGATTTTATTTTTTTTTCAAAAATACCATGAACTCGATTTACTATCACATTACATCGATAATAATTGATACAGGATGTTCTGTATTCACCACTGTTAACATATATTTTAACAATCCCTATTCTAAATTAAATCAAAAATATATAGATCAAATTGGTGTGGCAAATTATTATTTGAGAGATAAGGATACGAATGCAATCAAAATTAAACATTAAAATTCTGTTATCACCTCTGTTAACATATACGATTTTTAGAATCCCTGTAAAGAATTAAACCAGAAATGTATTGATCAAATTGGTGTGGTAAATTATTATTTGAGAGATAAGAATACGAATGCAATCAAGATTAAACATTAATATTCAGTAATCACCACTGTTAACATTTACGATTTTTGGAATCCCTATTCTGAATTAAATCAAAAATGTATAGATCAAATTGGTGTGGCAAATTATTATTTGTGAGATAAGGAAAGAATGCAATCAAGATTAAATATAAAAATTCTGTAATGATCTCAGTTAACAGAGACGATTTTTAAAATCCTTGTTAAGAATTAAGTCAGAAATGTATTGATCAAATTGGTGTGGTAAATTATTATTTGAGAGATAAGGAAAGAATGCAATCTAAATTAAACATTAATATTCTGTAATCACGACTGCTAACATAGACGATATTTAAAATCCGTGTTAAGAATCAAGTCAGAAATGTATTGATCAAATTGGTATGGTAAATTATTATTTGAGAGATAAGGAACGAATGCAATCAAACTTAAACATTAATATTCTGTAACGACCTCAGTTGACATAGACGATTTTTAAAATCCTTGTTAAGAATTAAGTCAGAAATGTATTGATCAAATTGGTGTGGTAAATTATTATTTGAGAGATAAGGAAAGAATGCAATCACAATCAAACATTAATATGGAGAAAGGCAAGATCTAAACTTAGAAACCTGCTTGTTCGCTGGATTAAACTGGGAGGAGAGGAAAATTAATTAATAGCCTTCATGCCATAAAAGCCAGCATTCTAACAGAATTCCATGTTTTCAATATCTTCCTTTCTGAATAATATTTCATTCAGAAGCATTTGATTACGTTTTTTTGTAATCTGTAGTGGTCTGATATTAATTTGTGACCCTTATTGAGATTATTTTCACTTCTTTGTTTACAAGAATTTTGAATAAGAGCCGTGGTGGCTCATGGGATAGAGCGTTCGCCTTCCAGTAAGGTGAACCGGGTTTGAATCCCAGCAATGGCTGAACGATACGAATTCCGCATCCTGCTTGCACCGACCAAAGTGCTGACATAAAATATTCTCAGGGATTGACGGATCATGGGTTAGAGTCCCCCTGCTGTCAGGCTAACCGTGGGAGATTTTCGTGATTTTCCCCTCCGTGTGCCGCAAATGTGGGTTAGTTCCATCACAAAATCCTTCACGAAGGCAAAATTTCTCTCAATGCTAGATCCAGGAGTTTCCTTGTCTTCTGGATTGGGCTCAAAATTAAAAGGCTACGAAGATAAACATTAGTAGTCGTAAACCCCCAAAAATTGGGTCGGCTGTTCGACGACAGTTATAAAATATTCTGAATATGTATACTAAGGGGTTGATTGCGGAATACTGGACTTTTTTATTATTACACTCTTCTTTTAGATGAAGGAAAGTGAATGCTCTCTGCAGTAATTTTTTTTAAATATTTTCACTCTAACTAAAAGTTTTTTCCTCAGTATATCAAGGTGCGCCCCGCAGCTAATTTGAAAGAAAGAAATTAAATTAGGGCCCAACGTATATATATATATATATATATATATATGGATTTAAAAACAAGACACTTCGTTTGTTTTATTAATTAAAAGTTTGTAGACCAAGTATAAAAATTGGAGCATAATTAAAGCTATTTTTAAACCGTTAATTAAAACATGAAAAATCATCACTAGAATGCAAAAGAATTTAAATGAAGCTGCAAAAGACGATTTAAATTGTAATATATTTTTAAAATTTTAACTACCAAAATTAGATTGCTGTTTAACTCAAACCCAATAAAAAAATTCTTGAATTATTAATTTTTATTAATCAATTATAACTTATTTTTATGATTCATTAGTTACAATACATTTCATAAGTTAATAGTTATGATTATTGTATTTTAATTAAGTTATAATTTATTTTGTTAATTATAATTATTTTTTATAATGAATAAAATTTAACATTACAGTAAAATTAATAAAACATAAGACTTTTCATAAGAATCGATTATAGAACTTTTTGATTTTAGTCAGTAAAAAATTATGAATAAAAAAATTTATACGTATATTTTTATGAATAATAATCATGTTCATTTTATTTTCTATAGAAGCTAGCATTTAGTATGGAGGAAAAAGATGCAGAAGAATTTATATTGTTGTTAAAAGGGTATTATCGCCTTTTTATCTGTAAAGAATTGCTTATAGAATATGACAAGTCAAATTTTTCTCAAGTCGAAACAGGTACGTAGGCTGTACAAAACTGTAATTGAAAATTACCATAATTGGCAATCAAAATTGCCATGAATGTTGGCGTATAAATGTTGCTTATTGTATATATACAGCTCTAATAACAACCGACTATTCTGGCAAAATTAAATTCCTAGTGCACTTTAGCGTCCAAATAAGAGTTTTTGTGCTGCCATCTAGTGTGGCAGAAACTAGACGTCCAAATTAACATGGCCAACGATATCTCACCCATTGTGGTGGTCCTGAAAGAGTGGATACCACTTCTGGAGAACGCACTAGGTCTGCTCATGAGTGCGCACTTGTGCAGCTCATTGGAAATAAAATAAAAAAATAACAACCGGCGATTTGTGATTGAAAATAAGATACGNTATATATATATATATATATACACTGAGTGGCCAAATTATTATGACCACCCCTTCAGTACGCTGTTGGGCCACCTTTTGCGTGTATTACTGCCTTACTTCGTCTGGGCATGGATTCTATGAGATGTTGGTAGGTGGTAGAAGGTATGCCAGACCATGCTAGAGGAACTGCACTTGCCAATTCCTGCAAATTTGACGGTACTGGATCCATTTGTCTGAGCGCCCGTTCAGTTTCATCCCACAAATTCTCAATTGGATTGAGATCTGGGGATTGTGCTGCCAACGAAGCAAGTTAAATTCTCCGTCATGCTCTTCGAACCCTCTGAGGAAAATGCCAACTTTATGACAAGGAGCGTTGTCCTGCTAGAAGTATGCACCCCTGCCAGAGTACACCATTGACATAAACGGGTGTATTTGATCTGCGATGATACTTAAATACCCTTGGGCATTAAGGCGTTGTGGTACAGGAATTAAAGGACCCATACAATACCAAGAGAGCATTCCCCATACCATAACGTTGCCACCACCAGCTTGAAGCATCGTGGCAATGCAGTTGGGGTCCATACTTTCGTGCTGTTTTCTCCATATTCTCATCCTGCCATCTGCGCGATGCATTTGAAATCGTGATTCATCGGACCACATGACCCTCTTCCAGCCATCTACTGTCCAATGTTTGTGCTCCTTTGCAAATTGGAGATGTCTGCGCTTATTTAAAGCAGACAGTAGAGGCTTACGAACAGGTCGTCTGCTTCCATACCCTATACGGCGCAATGTGCGTAGAACAGTCCGTTCAGAGACGTTCACAGTTGCTCCTTGATTAAGATCACTTGCAATTTGTCGCACTGTTGCTCTCCTGTTGCGCTGCACAACCCTGGCCAGCCTTCTCTCTGATCGACCATTCAGTACCCTGTGACAACCACAAGTCTGACATTGAGACCCAGTTTTTTGCTTGATTTTCCATTCTTTGTATACATTAACAACTGCTGCTCTAGAACACTTCACAAGTGCAGCCATTTTCCTGATACTTGTTCCGACACATCTCGCACCCACAATCATTCCACGTTGAAATTCAGTTAAATCACTTTTCTTTCCCATATCTGAGCAAGCAACACAGTATAACTGATGACTCACTTGTCCAGCATTCCCGTGTTATAGTTATCTCGCCCTCTAGCGGCAGCGCTGTGACGCAATAACTCATTTGCATAAAACTCTGAGGTGGTCATAATAATTTGGCCACTCAGTGTATATATACTGATGGAATACCACAAGGATCTAATTATTCATCTCTCTTAGCTAACTTATTTTTGCATTATAATGAAAAAATTATACTCTTAGTATTAAATCTGTTTTTAGATATATTGATGACTTAATTATCATAAATTTTCAAGATTATACTATTTTATTAAATGATATTAATCCCGAGGAATTAATCTTGCTTCGTAATCATAATGATAATATTAATTTCAATTTTTTGGATTTGGGTATTATAAAAGAAGAAAATTTCTGCTTTGTTGATTTATACGATAAAAGAAATGATATTAATTTTAATATAAATAAACTAATTACTTGGAATTCTAATGTTTCTAAGAGCATCTATTTAAATATCACTTTTAATGAAATGAATAGAAATTTGTAGTAATATTTATTTATCCAAAAAACAAATCGATAAACTCTTTCCAAAATTTGATAAAAAAGCAATGGATACCCAACTAAAGTAATAAAATTCTATATAAAATCATTGAATTAATCGTATATTTTTGTAGATATATTTACTAAAAATTTTCTTTGTTAATTTATATAATTTTCCCATGTGCAAATCCATTTTGGGAAAATCCGTGGCCAAAATTATTTACTAAATAATTTCTTTGTTAATTTGTATAATTTTTCCATGTGCAAATCCATTTCGGGCTAATCCGTGGCTAAAATTATTTACTAAAAATTTTTTTATTAATTTATAAAATTGCTCCACGTGTAAATCCATTTCGGGCAAATCCGTGGCTAAAATTATGTACTAAATTTTTTTTTCTTTGTTAATTTATATAATTTTTTTATGTGCAAGTCCATTTCGGACAAATCCGTGGGTA